TCCTGGCCATCATAATGCCTCTTCTAAAAAAATCTTAATGTTATGGTGTTTAACAACCTTGTGAACTAGATGAGGCACTATGTGGCCAGAACCATAGCCTTGGGGGTGAAGTATGCTCCTAGTTGCACTGAGGGGCAGTGCTTCCCTCCAAGGAATTGTGTTGGAAGCACAACCGGGGGGGGGCTGGGGTGGCTGTGTAATTATTTGTAAAACTGATGCAAAGTAGTCTGGATGGTCTGAGGTGTCACTGAGGCCAGGGGAGTCCCTGGCAATGCTGGTGGTTTGTTCCATGTCTTCTTGGAGCACGCGTCAAAGACCAGCCCATCTTGTATGATGCTCTCCAATGGTTTTTTACGATGAGGCAGATGTGGAAAATAAAGGGAAATAGGGCGTGTGTTGGAGGTTGATGTAAGCGAGGCCTCGTTAACACTTGCAAGAATAGTCTTTTCATATACCCAGTGGTAATCTGTGAGCAAGGAAGTAGAAGCAGTATCTAGGAATGTCTCCATATCTTTTAGGAATAAGTGGGCGTGAGATGGACAAGTCTGTGGTTTCAGTGCAAACAGAGTGCAGACTTTCAGTACTGCCTGCTGTTGGTGCTGTGCTTGCTTCTGAGTAAGGGTGTGGCCATGGAGGTCTTTATTTCTCTGTTTCCATAATGAGATATAAGAGGTAAGAAAGAATTCCACAAGATAAACCCCCAAGCACAAGTGGGGAGTGAGAGCTGGAATGAATGTCATGGTCTGTAAACCACTGGAGTGAAATATGGCCGGCAAACATGTGGTGCCATCCAATCTCACTCTGGAAATGAATAACTAGATGAAGGGATGCATGATATTTCTCTGGAGAAACTGTGCCACTGTCCAGCCATTTTGTAAGATATCATAGCGCCTCTTCTAGTTCATGGTGAGGCTGATTATATATTTAAGATTTTTTTCCAAGACATAGTACCATACTCTACAAACTTGTCGTATTTAACATACAAAAGTACAGAAAAGACTKGGTCTTTCTACTAAAGTTCCCACATCACCACTACTTTCCTTCCCCAAAAAAAAGCTTCAAAAGAAGTTATCATGCATCTACAAGGCATAGAAAGTGTCACAAACCCTTTTGCTGCACAGAGGAATCTAGAAAGACTCGTAGAAATACATTTTCCATTTTCTTCTATCTCATCACTGCAAGAATCATGCTGCAAAAATGTTGTGAGCACCATGTCATGGAACTTTCGTTTGTGGCATGCAAGAAGGAGTAGCGTACTCGTACCACACTCGTACTTGTGTGATTTGTTCTCACACTTCGAACAAATTTCATACTGCTGCTACACAACGTAGTTTCGTCCCGTAGAAAAATTCATGACTATATCAGTGTTTGTTGCATATCTGCTGCTATCAATGCTTTTTAATCCCGGTGGAATCAAGGAAATATCATGGTTTATTCACTCTTATAAGATCTATCGTGATCAAAGTACTGTGAACTCCAGCAGGCTCCAACCGCTTTCAAAAATAATGCTGTTGCGTCACGGCTTCAATCCAAACAAACCGGTTTTGAAGTACTTCAAAGATTTGTGTCGAACTCGGTCGTTGAATGGAAATAATGTCTTGCCTCGTACTATCTTTGATTGGCTGCTTGTGCAGCTTTGACTCCCGCAGCAGCCATTCTCCACAAGTTAGCAGCTTTGCTCTTTTTGGACCCTTCGCGTCTTTCAGAATCGTTGTTCTGATTCGTCCCATCGAAATTTGTACTGTGGCGGTTGCTATTGTTTTGGTCCGCGGCTTCCGATGCAAAATTGCTGACGGAGCTCATGGTGTTTTTGAGGGCTTCTCCAATTTGTTTTCCAATAAACGATGCCTTGGGTGGCTCGGGTGGTGGCTCCCCGCGTTCTACGGCCCTCCGGCATTCTTCTCTGTAGCTGAGTCGCTTCATGCTGTCTTGGTGCAGCGCACGCACCGACGATGATGCTATCTCGCTCGCCACCATCCCACCGACCACGGAACCCACCGACCCCAGGATGCTGCTGCCCCTGCTGGCGTGTTGGCCACCGGACGCGGATCTTTCGGCTCCTCCTCCCAGCATGCGGGATCCCACGAGGCTTCCAACGATTCCGGCCAGGGCTGCAACCGTGCCGATCGTAGCGGCAAGCTCCGCCTCGCTCATTCCCGCCACCGTCTCATCAAATGCGTCCATGTAACTGTCGTAGGTTTTGGCGTTGACATTGTTGTAGCTGCTGCTGCCGCCGCCGCCGCCAAAACCACTAGAACTATTAGGTGTTCTCCCCGACCGAAGTTCTCGGTCGTAAACCCGTCTCTTGTCGGGATCGCTCAGTGTTTCATAGGCTTGGCCGATCTCGACAAATCGAGCCTTGGCTTCTTCTACGTTGTTTGGATTTTTGTCAGGGTGGTACTTCAGAGATTTCTTGAGGTAAGACTTTCGAATCGTTGCGGCGTCGGCATTGGGATCGACCTCCAGAATTTCATAGTATGTTTTTGCGGTATTGTTCATGGCATGCGATTGATTTCATCAATTGCAATGAGGAGGATTGGCTGTAAAATGAATAGAGTGCTCTTCTAAGGTAGGAGCAGAACTCATGCTCTGCTTTTGTAGAACAACAGATGTTGTCTCTGGTGTTGGCTTGTGAGTGACCTCGAGAAGTCGATTAGAAGTACGAGTACTCGTACCTGATAGTAACCGTACGTACGTATGGTACTCAATTTTGAAGACAAAGTACAATACCGTACGAGCACACAGGTGAGCAGTACAGAATCGTACTGGACGGAACCTAAGCCGTTTTCGTAACTCGGAAGAGGGGGCCAAGACCAAGTTTTTTAACGGTTTCTGTTCACTTCTATCCACGATTCAGAACAAGAAGACACGATTGACCTTTAGTATTTTCTTTAGATAAAGGATTGTTTGTTGAAGTTAAGAACTGTCTTTCTTATTTGTGAATGCAAGGTTTGACAAGTGCATATGAACCAAGAAGTTGTTCTTGTTGTTGGTCTAAGAATACTACTACTATCAGTACAAGAACAACTACTACTAAAACTAGTACTACTACGACTTTTTCTTCATGGTTTTAGTAGTACTACTAGTACTAGTATTCTTCTTGCACTTCTTCCTTCCTTTCCTTCATACCACTACTAGTAGTACTAATTTGTGCTGGAATGTGATTGATGATATCATCCAGCACCACATCCCAATCCATACTTCCTTTTGAGCTAGTACTACTACTAGTACTACTAAATGCTTTGTGCTTGACCTAAATTCCATTGTAGATGAAACCTATTAGTACTACAACTACTATTGGCACTACTACTAGTACTAGTACTAGTACTACTACTACTACTACTACTAGTACTAGTACTACTACTAGTACTAGTACTAGTACTACTACTAGTACTACTACTACTACTAGTATTACTACTAGTACTAGTAGCACTAGTACTAACAATGCAAAAGCATCTCAGGTGGTCGTGCTTATGATTATGTTATCTGCCTATTTATTTTCTTCAATAACTATCATGATGTTGGAGCAGGGTAGTAGTACCACTAGTAGTACTACTACTAGTTATTGTTGCAGGTGGTATTATCTGATTTTTTCTGTTTTGGATAGTAGGTACATATTGTCCCTTAGTTTAGTAGTAGTGCAACGTACCGATGAATCGTTACGTACGATACGAAGCTCCGAAGAAAGGAATGAAGGATCATACCATTCCTACGTACCTATCGTAAGGTAAGTTTCCTATGTATGTATCATA